AAGCAGCTGAGGTGGCAGGCCGACAATCCTGCCCACACCGCTTTGGCTAGGACACTCAATGGTGAAGCCGATGCTCGCTGCACTGCGCTGCTTTCGCCGCTGCGGGCTGCTTGGCAATCTGCTTGTGACCGCTACGACGCTGCTGTCGATTGGGGCGGCGCCGCCTTTGATGCTCAGCATGAGGCCACTGAGCCTTATCACGATATGATGAAATGTGCCATCGGAGAGCTCCGCACTGCGTGACGCTCCTTGGCTCCCTTTTGATCCCTTTCGGTTTAGTCCCTCTCCCTTTTGGTTCCCCCTTTGGCTTTCTTGCGAAGACCCAATCTGTCTGATGCCACTGCGGGCCGCAAGTCTTTTCCTTTGGGGCGTTTGGTTTTGCCTCCCGACTTTAGGCTTGCCTTTTGTCAACGGAAGGGGGCCCAGTGTCATGCTTTGGCACTTGTGGTCCCAGCTCGCCTACGACTACTTCCCTGCGCTGGAGCAGGGCACAGCAATGAGGAGAGCTGCGGCTCTCCGTACCGGCGGGCGTCTAAACTACCAACCTTCGGGTACGGCGCAGGTTGACGTACAATGCATGAATGAATGAATGACCAGCTGGAGCTCTAGGGGTTGGTGCAGGTTAGAACGGATGGCCCGGGGCTCTCTCTGTGGGCAGTGGCAGCATGATTGTGATGCAGTCTCCCAAACACATTGCAATGGGTTCTTCGATGGAGGCTTTGCTGCAGGCGGTGGGGGACGGAGAGTTTACGGTGGACTCAGACCGCGCTAGAGTGGGCGTAGCCATGACGTGGCTGTTGCACAACAAGATGCGGGCCCGCTTGGAGAGAGGAAATTTCCAAGATTACCGGCTCCTTCTGAATCTGCGGCACCTGTACCTGAAGCGCTTGCCATGTTCGGAGCAGGAAAGTCTCGTGCCGGGTTTTGATGCCGAGACAGCCGGGGACTTGCCAGAGCGATTTGCTCGCTTTTTGCATGACAACGGTTTCGATAGTCCGGTGCGCCCGGATGCGGCAGGCTGGACTCCCATCTGCTATGCCGCCCTCAACGGGGACCCTGCCCTCATTTCCGAATTGTTGAAGCACAAAGCTAGCCCGCATGATCGGATCCAGTCATCGAAGCCGGTGTTCAGCCTTGCGAAACACATGACACCCTTGCATCTTTGTGCACTCTTCTGCAACAACGACGCCATGAAGATCTTGATCTCCGGACGCGGGGACGTCCTTGCACGAGACCGCCGTGTTGCAACTCCTCTGCATTGGGCGAATGTGTCCAACAACGTGGAAGGGATCAAGACCCTACTGGCTGCCACTGCCGACCCAACCCTGCTTGACAGGGTGCGTTGGTGCCCGCTTCAGGTCGGCTGCGCGTTTGCTTCCAGGGAGGCTGTGATGATGCTGCACGGGCATTTAACGCAACGCACACAGCGTTCCTCCAGCTCCTCAAGCCCCATCAGCTCAAGTAGCTCATGGTTGAGGTCAGCTTTGCACTTGGGGGCCGGTGTGACAGGAAGCAACGCGCAGTTCATTGCTACTTTGGTGCGGGCGGGTGCGGATGTGAACGAGGTGGCGCCCCTGTCGGATGCGTTGGAGTTCAAGATGCTCATGGCAGCCCTGAGATTGAAGCACCAGCTCCGCCCTACGACCCTCACGCGCTTGGCTCACCATGGCTCTGGAGCGACTCCTCTCATGATCAGCATCCTCGCCGGAGCCTTCGAGGCTGTCTCTCCCCAGAACCCAGCCCTGTTGGGCCGTCAGGCCCTGCCCCCCCATCTTGCCCCCTGCCCCTTGTTCCCCACCCTCTGTGTAGGGTTGTTAGATTTTCCTCCTCCTCCTTCTCCTCCTTCTCCTTCTCCTCTCCTCCTTCTCCCTCCTTCTCCTTCTTCTCCTTGTGCTCTGACCACGAGAAAATATCCCTCCAGTGACTGCCAACACCCTCGTGACCGCCAAAAGATCCCTCCAGTGACCGCCAGACAAGATCCCTCCAGTGTCCGCCGGTCAGACAAGATCCCTCCAGTGTCCGCCAGAAGATCCCTCCGGTGACCGCCACAACAGATCCTTCCAGTAACCGCTAAAAGATCCCTCCAATGACCACCAAAAGATCCCTCCAGTGACCTCTACAAGGTCCCTCCCGTGACCTCGACCCCCAAAAGATTTCGTCAACACCAACAGCTTGCACCACAATAGAGGGTGGGGATGTTCGAAGCTAGATAAGTTTTTCCCCCCGTCCCCCCCAACTGTTTCTTCCCGCAGGCGGCCGCGGCGCTGATGGTGGCAGGGGCCCGCTTGGACCTCCAGAACAGCCATGGCGAAACAGCCGAGGATCTAGCTGGAAGGTACTCCGCCCCCGACTTCATCCTCCAAGCATTCCGAAATCCAGAAGGACTCCACAGCACGGAGATGGCCAGAATTAGAGAAATGAGCCAAGAGCCAACATTTTCTGTGTGAGCGCTGTGTTTTTCCGAGTGTGGCTTGCGGCAAGATCCACAGCAAGGAGATGGCCAGGATTAGCGACATGAGCCAAGAGCCTTCATTTCATGTTTGAACGCTGTGTTTTTCCCTTCGAGTGGGGCTTGCGGCAAAGCCGCAACGACCGCTAACTGTCGCAGTCTGTCCGAAGGATTCAGATTGATCAGATTGTAGGCAAAACACGCAGCGACCACACCTACCTCACAACTCGGTGCAAAAGGTCGCTGGCTGCAGACCAGGCCTGTCTCGCCTTGCCTTGAGCCTTGCCTTACCTTGTCTTCCCCTTCCCCTCCACTGAATGGAGCGCAGGATGCCCTCTGTTGACGTCCATGTCGGCTTGGCCTCCATGGTCTGCTCCTGAATTAATCAGGTCAGTGGTGGTCCATTTCTTGTTTCCTGTTGTAAGGCCTTCAGTCCACCGTTGGGTTCTTTCAACGTTAAGGGCAAAAGTTTTGATCTCTTCATACCTGGTTGATTCTTTGTAGTTGAGCAACAAGTGTTGTCTCACGGTCGGCGGTGTTCCTTGTATGAGGATTGAACTCTTCACGTCTTCTGAAATGATGTCTCTAGAGCTAGTCTCGTACTCATCTATCAAGTGCTCAAATGCCAGAATGTTTTCTCCAAAGCTTTTGCTGCCATCGAACTTGAATCCAATCACATTCTGGATGAGGTGAAAACCTCTGGCCTTGGTCTGAGGCTGATTCTCCTGAACTAGCAACCTGTAGGCTTCATACCGGTTTTCATCTTGAACTGCTCTAATTGATCTCAAGGGTCTGTTCTTGGTGTAGCTAGTTAAAATGGAGTACAGTCTCTTGGAAGATTCCTTAGACCGAGGAGTGAACTCATCAAGCTTGAGTTCCTGACTGAGATCTCTCTCTACTGCAGACATTCGCTCTACCGTTGTGGGCCCTAAGGCACCTAGCCAGGTCCTGAACTGGTGCTTGAAGTCAGGGAACTGCCTTCTTTCTTCTTCCCAGGTTGTTGGGGCAAACACCTCAGGGGTCTTCAGCAACGTGTGACAAGGGAGGCAAATGGAGGGTGGTTGCACAGGTCACCGGTGTTAGCTTCAAGTAAGAGAGAGAACCCGAAAGGCGTGAAATGTTGACGAAGATCGAATCGTGCTGGTGCGGCAAGGGAGACTCCGTGCGCAATGAGGAAGACAAGCACAGAGCGGTAATCGGGGAGGCCCGCCTGACGGGTCGTAGACGTGGTGTGAGTGAGGATTGTGAAGGTGACATGCAGCCAGCTATCAGGTTGGTAAATTATTCGGACATAAGTAGACCCATTATAAGAATAGTACTTACATTAAGATCCCTTTTCAAACCATTCTTCTTCAGGGGGGCTTATTCATGGCAAGGGATTATGAGGATTCCCGTATTATTTTGCCTTTCAGGGTAGGGGGAAACCAAATCCCAATTTTCCTCTTCATCCTGAAGCCCAGACCGTCACTCACCCCTTTGAAGCAGCGCCTAAAGCTCAAAGCTTAAAGGCAGAAATACCAGGGAGCTCCCAGCCGAACCACAGCCCAAGCTTCGAGCGCCGAGTTTTATGAGTTTGGCGACTCGCCACCCACGTCTCGTCTTAGCAGAACGGTAAACCGCAGAGCTCCTCGAGAGATTCATTCTCAAAGTGGGTCTGGAGGATGGCGTAGGGACTGCACCCCCAAAACCCCTCAAGCCTAGAGCTGCTTACAGGGTCTATGCCGTACGTGCCCTACAAGTCTGTGGTGAAGGCCTCCATGGAGCCCGGATGCCCAACAGGGAGAACGCTTCCTTGTCGGGGTGTGTTGCACGTTTAAGGGTTTGTTTGGATGGTTCCACACATTTAGGAGTTAGGAGTGTGAAAACAGGGTCTGCCATTCAATGCTTAGCTTTGGGTTTGGAGATGCGCTGGGGGATCTCAGACCTTTTGGGCTTGTGACTTTCCAGCCTTCGGTGGTTAGGTGGCCATCCCGACCTGCGCCCGCCGCACCCTTCACCCAACCCCCCGAAGGGAGAACTTGCTCATCATTCTTTTGGCCCTGGTTGCACTTGGGATCCTACGCTCTGGACCTTGAATCTTCGGGGGTGGCAACAGAAAGCCTAAATCCCAGACATACAGGCCTTAAAGAAAAAGCCAAAGCCAAAGCGTGACTCAGGATCAGGAAGGAGGAGCACGCGCTTGCGAAGGAGAAACAGCTGGCCTGAGCTCAAGCATTCTGGCGCTTGATGGGTTGTGGTTCAGAGTTTCGTTTCGGGCTCGGGCGATTAGGGCTTTAGACTGCAGAGGGTGTGTGGATCAGGATTTGGGATCAGGGCTGGGGCTTTAGATGGAGTTGATGCTTTGCGCCTTTTGCAGTGGGTTTCGGGTTTGGGCTTTTCGTTTACCACAAGCTTGGATGTGTGCAGGCCACTTTGAGCTTGAAGCTTCACTGTGTCGAATGATACCTCCAGCCGTAGGACATAATACCAAATCGCACAAGCTTACATCTGAGTATTTTACAAGTAGAGTGATGGCCAAAGTTTACTACAAGTATGCGATAAGCCGTTTCCTGTTAAGAAATCCAATCATTTTAATTGCTTCAAAAACTGTTTGGCAATAGTGCGGGCGTCTGGTCCTAAACATCCACCAAACCGTGTAATCGCCGGCTCAGCGTATGCTGCGGGCTGAACTGAGCTTGCCTTCCGTCTACATTAAGTTCAGGGTTTCGGGTTTAGCGCTTCGGGTTTAGCGTTCAAGGTGTAGGCTTCAACGCCCTGGGAGGCTTGGGGCTTGCACCCACCCACCCACGTACCAAACAAAGACATAGAGGAGAAGCTATAAACGTAAAGTGCCAAACAAAAGCAGGAAGTGACGCTCAAGAAGCTCGCAGAGGCGCAGGCAAGGGCTTGGGAAGTATGTGTCTGGCGAGGTTTTAAGGGTTTCGGGAGGTCGGGGGCTGCAGGGTTTTCGGTTTGGGCTTCCTGTAGCCGTTCCTTACCTGATGTGGCTCTAAGGATCAGAGGTCTGCTCGCGGATGGATTTGACAGAGACCTTCGGCCTTCGTCCCCCCCCTCTCTGGTGGTTTGCATTTTGTAGGCAGGCTCGAGTACATTCGGAAGCATTTGCAACTGCTTTCAAGCACTGCAGAGGACTTCTTACTTCAAACGACTTTTGCCTCCGAGTGCATTCGAGGGAAACACAGTACTTAAAAAGAATCGTGTGTCTTCGAAAGCATTCAAGAGCATTTCAGAGCCAAGACGTCTTTTATAAAGTCGTTCTCAACCCTGTTAAGCCCTCCTTTAAGTGCTTCCGAATGTTTTTCCACCCTGCCTACCAAATACAGAGCAAGAACCACCCAAAAGGCCCAGGCCCAGATAATGATTCGTGGTTGAGACTCCTAAACGCAGAGCTCACACTCCTCGGTGTTTGCGGGTGGGGGGAGGGACGGAAGGATCCCTCAGCCACAGTCTACCGGCCTGGAATTAAGGCAAAGGCCTCGGGCCCTAGGGCAAGCGGCGTCTCGAGGTGGGGGATTAAAGTAAGATGAATGTAGGGCTTGGTGGTTGTACTGCTCAGACCATCGGAGCCAGGAGTTGGGGTAAAGGCAGCAAGTACATGAATTGGTGCTGTAACACAGCGAAACTCCGGTTTTGATGACATGTGAATGCAAAGAAATTGTGTGGTGTGCGGGCCACTTGTAGGCATGCCCGCCAGAGACCCTCCGCCTCAAGCCGTACACCCTCAACCCAAGGACCCCTGTCCTCGACCGGAAGTCTTGCAAACGGGGCTTAGGGCTGACGGGTCAGAGTTGCAGAGGAGGCTGCTGTGGCTACCACGGTGTCCGTGCCGCCGGCACCGGCAGCGTGCCTTGCAGAAGTGTTCAGTTCTT